AGCTGACACGCTCAAAAGTTTGAAATTTCAAAGTCTGTTGTTGGTAGGATGTTTCCGTTCAGCTTTGCTGGCAAAATTGAAGGCTATAATGACATGATCGCTTTTTCCATTAATGGTCAGTATTGATAGGTTGTCATTTAGGAATTATTGGTTTGCAAATACGTAGCCTAGGTTTGACGGTGTCTGACTGTTCCTCCATGGAGTTGCCTACTTCACATTTTCGAATCAACCCAAACACTCGATGAGGTTTAAGAACCGAGCTACAGATGAGCTATCACCTCCAATGTACGTAATTTCAGCGAAATTGACATTAAGAAGTCTACCAGAAGCAGCATACGAGAGTATTCGAGATAAATGTAGCTGTATAATCCCTCCAGCATGCGACTGTTGCATTTGGTGTCAATAAATGTCTTCCAGTAGATGACTTCAACGAGAGATTTCGAGGTGTTAGATAATCTCAATGAGCACCATACAGATTAATCGAGGTTGACAAACTCATGCGTGTACACTTAATGTGATAGCAACCAGTATCGTATGTACAAGACCACACTGTCCCCCTTCCGACTCTTTTGTATTACAGAACTAAAACATTGATGGTATCATCAGTTGCTGGTCCGTATTTTGAAAAGAAGACTGTGTTCCAGATATTCCTAGTAGATGAGTACTATTAGTGGTGGTTGATTCACGCAACTCGTCCATCGAGTTCGGTAAACTCGCATCATTTGTATTTGGGCAGTGTTTTTTATTTGAAACGCGTGAGCCATTTCTTCCTGTTTGTTCAAATAATCCCGTTGCGAATAGATAGACAAGGTACCTATACAGAGCTTTCTTAGTGTGTAGTCCCTGTCTCTCCTACGATTTTCTTTGATCTTGACAGTCTCTATGTGAAACGGGCAGCTCTAAGTTGCTTTCGTGTTTAATCTTTATATTATGTATCTCATCCGGTTGCGACTGGAATCCAGTTGGTTACTAACGTCTGTTGTCTCGGAGTGCTATGAAAGTGGAAGCCACCATTTGAGATTATGTAAAAGATATGTTTATTAGCCGAGTTCCAGAATCCCTTTTCATCTTAACTTATTGTACTACTTGTTTGTTGAACATGTTCTTAAGCTTTAAGGTTAGGTAAATGATCTAATTTAGGGCGTCACAGTCTGCATATCTTAGGTCCGTGTTTTCTAGGACATTTTGCACGATGATGTTTCTTACGTGAAAGAACATCTCTCCAGATTCCTCCAAGGTTTTCGTGCTGTCATCTCTCGCTATTTCATTTTGGTTTCTCTTTTTCGTGCTCTTTCACTACACAGCAGGGTTGACAGGTTCAACAGCTGGTGCTTCACTGGGAAGAGGCTTAGTTTACCGCGTAGAGTGAATGACATGATTTAAAAAGTAAGGACGTATAGATTTATCGATCAATTAAGGGAATTGGGATGTATAATCATCCAACATTGATGATAAGTCTTGAGAATTGAACGCTATATTCGGTTCCTAAGCTATTCTGGAAAATCCGCAAGCTAGAAGTACACAGCGACCTGAACACCAGAGAGAAGACGCAAAGTATGAAAGAAATACTTTACTCCAAGGTTCGTTTTTGTACAGAAAACATAGGTGTTTATAGATGTTAGAGTTTGTTAAATCAACATCATATTTCGGCCAATCTGTTAAAGACATATTATGCTACTGGTCAATAGTAACACTCCATGTTGGAATTCCAGAATGCTCCATCATGCTCTGATTGGCTAGAAATCTTCGGCTCCTTTTGGGCCTCTGGAGGATCCGTTGGAGTTCTCTGAAAGTCGACTCAACAAATGATATGAAAGTCTGATCTATGAGGCTTTAGCTAAGATAATAGTGATATCTGCCAGTTATCGTATTTCAATTGTAGAAATCTTGGTCTCACGATAACCCATAATTGGACCAAATTGGATTGAACCTCGATTACCACGGGCGTGTACTATCTGGATTCAATTAAAATGAAATTAACTGAACCGTGGTGTGGATAATTGTGAAAGTGAATCTCAAGTTAATAGGATTCAGAAAAATCACCCGATGAGATGAGCATGCGGTTGCATATGTGAAGGCATATATACAAAATTACATTACTAATATAATTCAAAACGATACAACTAACTGAACTGTATTCATGCCGTTAATAATCATGTGACGTATCTGATCTCATGTAGTTCATTAGATTATAAACTCGTATGAACTTGTTATGTATGAAATAATCGCAAAAGTTATGTATGTTATAGTTACGTCTTCATGTTGTGTGGGTTTTAACGCCTCATAAACGTTACGGACTGAAACACTGACGGGTACTTTTTGAGTTTAGTAGTTCGTCTAACTGTGTCGGACTAGAAGAAGGTTCGTTGCGCATGGCCTTATTTTTTAAATGTCTTCTGAGCCTCGTATAAAATGATATTCTAATCAACATACACCCCGTTCAGAATGATGGAGTTTTCTGTAACCTACACGAACACCCATAACCTTCGAAATAAAACGTCCAGGCTAAGAGTGATGGTGGACTAACAAAGTCCCGATATAAATGTTGTCATGGCAACTTGTCTCAACTTAGATGTAGACAGTTCTCCCATCATCGCAGGCTGCACCAATATTAAAAGTGATAGAGGTATAAACCGCAAGGGAGAACGAGTGATGTTTTATGTCAAGGATCAATTCCGTGTACAGTCGATCGTAACGGAGGAGCATGTTAGTTACATGTGAGGTCGCATTTCGTACAAATATGTCTAGTCACGGGTTGGTGACTGTAGGACGAGCATAACGTAGTTCGTGTCGTTTTGGTTACGACATTATATTCATACACATCTGTTCTTGGAATAAGGGCGAGTTTTGTTTCATAATTGAAGATACATATATCAATGGGATAGAGCTCACAGCTTTGGTGGAGGTTCCGGTAGCGACATTATATCAGCCATTATTAGATGTGCACTTGCACAATGTATCGCGAAACCGACATATATTGATTTGGAACATGATCTGTTATAGTTGGAACTTGTCTTGACACACCACTGCGAGAATATCATCGACGTTCAGCACTTTCTCCACATTAGCGAGTGGTGACCACGTTGTACTTTACTTTACGTTTCGGACATATGGAATACAATGTGTATCTACTCCACCCCGTTACGATATCTGGAGGGCTAATATTCTAGCAATCAGAGACTGTGCTATCTCAACTGACTGGTCGGTCGATGCGGATGGATCAATCGAAGATGAATGGAATAAGTTTAAGGCTACATTAGGGTACGTAACATCACCGTTTATCCCATAATCAATGGGTTAACTGTCACATTGTCCTCCATGGATTAAAAAAGTAACCTAAAATCTTTTGTAGCGTGGGAAACACTTGTGGGAGTTATTCGTGCCAACGGGACACGAATAACTTAAGTTTTAATATCGAGAGTTTCAAGATATTTGTAAAAAGACTATAGCCAGATGCCGTACAATTTACGAAAGATAGTTGACGTCTGGTAGCCATACTTGTCCGAAACGGTTGTTTTCGTATGTTAAAAGTAAGGCAAGAAACGTAGTGATGGTATTTTCATATTAATGTTATACGAAAATTTAAATTTTCTGGCTGAGTCAGATCTAACAAAAGCTGAAACTTTATCAAACTATTTCAGCGAAGTCTACTCTACGTGTATTGTTTAAAATATTTGTCCAACTCACACCACTGAGATATCAGCTAAAGGACCTGTATATATGAATGAGTAAACTATTCTTCAATTGATCACTAACATTAAACCTTGTGAAACACCGTGCCTTGATCAGTTACATCCACGATTGCTGTCGTCCCTCGGTGACATTATTTCAAGAATACTCGAGATGATTCTCAACTTACCCCTTTCCCACACTTAGATCCTTAGAGATTGAAAAATGCTGTAGTCCGCCTCATATTAAGAGATGATCAGAGATTTATCGTACCCAACTACCAACCTGTCAGTCTAACCAGCATAATCGTTAAGTCACTAAGTCACATAGAATCGTGTAATCTGTTAACTCCTGAGCAATACGGGTTTCCAAACAAACATCCATGCGTGACCAACTTATTTATTGCAAGAGAGGATGGACAGCAGCCCTGTGTATCTATGTACTATTCATAGGCTCAATGAAAGCTTGTGACAAGATTTCACACTTATATCTTATGCCTAAATTCTCGAGCTTTTGAATAACAGGTGCTGTACAGGAATGAATAGGAAACTTCTTATATGACCGCAGAAAGTGTTACGGGAGAACTGGAGACATCTGGCTGATTAAAAAATTTATATTGGATATTAATAATTTCACTGTTTTTTGTTCAAGTTCAGAACATATTTGTTTATATCATTATTTTTGACCTTTTGGTTTCTCTATGTCTTTGGTTTGGTATTTGGGAGTTTTTGCTCCGGGAACCTTTAAAATTGAAGGACGACATTTGGATCGACTATTTGAAATTTTTTAATGAACTTTGGTACCTAAATTGGAGCTTGTTGATTTGGTTTCGTAAATTGCAAATAGATCGATATACCGTACTTCAGCAACGGGAACAAGCACTAAAACGTGAACGTTACATATACAGAGAGTGACGGCTAATAGAACGCTATTTGAATAGAAGTCTGGTATATCCCAAGGTAACATCTTAGATCCCCAAATCCTCCTTCTCTACGCCGACGAATTACCGCTATTGCTTAAGTTGTCGTCATTATTGTTTTCGGTTGATGTCAAAATCCGGAGAACACTAAGAAGTAAGGCTGATAATTTTGATCTTCAAGCCTACCTAAACGAAGTAGTTGGATGGTCTCACGGTCGAGGCTTGAAAACGAACTCTAGAAGGAGTGTGCTCAGACACATCGGACACAGTACTAGTTATCAATATGATATAGACAGAAAATCTTCAGTGAGCGTGGTTTTGGTTTTCTCATTGAGTGGTTAAAACGGGAACGCCTTGCCCGAACAAGTGAATATCAGCCGCATCAGCGGACATTTTCAAGGAAAAGCTGAACCTTCAGTGAAAAGCAAACTGTTACCATTAATATAGGTTTACCAACCTTCCATTCTTATTACTGAGACTGAAGAAATTTCGGAGCGGTTTATTTGAGGACTGTGCTACACGTGGTGGGTTTCAGATATAGGTTGCAAGTCTTTCACCCAATCGAACATAAAAGATATCTCTAGCAAAGTGTTCATAACCCACTTGTTGACGACGTATGATTATTTTGCGATTCTCGACACGTTTTTATTTCGTTAAAGTAATTATTTTTTGTATATGATCTACATTGTAGCTACACCTAATTCGAGTGTGGTATTTCAGCTTTAGCAACAACGTGTGTTAAGCGGTATGACTTTATCTTTTTAGGAAGATGATATAGGGTAGTGGTTATGTGTGACAGCGTGGGTACAGCCCAGTCCTCCCATTTTGGGGCATTTTCCAGACCTTGGGGAATCTTGAGATATTTGCGCCAATTCCCTAAAATAGAGAGATTTGAAAATATGACTAGTTGTCACTTATTGGCTAGTTAGTCTTCTACCTTCCTAGGGTCTAACTCAGAATGTAGTGTTGAACGACCATAATCTGAAATCTTGACTCAATGGCTGATATTAGAAACAAAGTGTTTTTTGTGTGTGAGGAATTCAAATTATGACTTACAGTTGATGGTCATTGTTAGGAATTAGATTCAGGGTTTTCATCATGAACTGACATAAGCTACAATGCCAAAAGTGTTTGGTCAAATGGTTGGGTGAAATTCGGGCCAGAATCCGATACCTGTTATGTTATACGTGATTAATTCGTCCATAAATTATAGTCTTGCTTTTGCTTGTTATTTAATGTATATGTAATTAGTTTTAACCGACGCTTAAAGCAATATACGAAACTAGCTAGTGTTTTCAATAGTTTGTGCCAAACATACTCCATAAGATACCGGATAGGATTGACGAAACTGTGTTGTATTAAGTGACAGGGTAACGTTAGTTAACTTAAGCTTAAGATCACAGAACCTGCTGTATATTCTAGATATAGGTGTATTCATTTGTGATAGCAATAATTATTTACCTTCAAAAACATCGTATATTGACTTCCTCAAAAATTACTTTAATTATATTAGACGAGCGACAGTCTTGTGGTCTTTTGAAAGCTTTAACAATGGAAGTCATATTATTGCCGTTGTTGATTGATTATTTATTAGTCCAGCACACGACATTTAGTATTTTCTGCATAAATCCCGAATTTTGCAACCAGTGAGATATCTGAATAAATTAATACCTAATCCTTAAGTCAATTGCCTCTAACCAGGTTACTTATTCACACCTGACAAATGTTTTCCCTGTTCAAAACCATACTAACTAGTCCATTCCTTTCAGTTTTAGTATGTCACCTCTATGATAACCCCTACTTTAAATTTGCTCGACACCATAGACATTACGAAACTGACAAGACAATAGCGTCATATGTTCTTTTAAAAGTGAGTTGTAGCCAGTCGTAATCAACTTTGGGATATAACCTAGATAAATCTGACTGTTTTGAAAAACAGTTAGTGTTAAAGTATTTAAGCCATTCAGTCATTTATAAGTAAAATCAAAATATCCCGTGTATCTAATGTTTTTAGATAGTACAACTTTTTTCTCATTGCATAACATGTTCTATTCAGAATACAAATAACCCATTTTCGCAGTGTCGATGGTGCTTTCTATTTCCAAACTATTACTGTTTTGTAAATCTATTTGTCAGTGCCGGTTTTACTTTGTGGTTGCTAATCCATTTATTTTATTATTAAAACTAGGATAATTTTATCTATTTCAAACAACTGAAAGATATTTGTGGAATACCCGGTTGACTTCCTGATTATCCACCTGGTTGATAAAAGTCCAGTTCTTCTGAACTTTAAATTGACTTGGAAAAATGCATACCACATAAGATAAATTTTTTCATTTAGGGTTACATGATATTTTCGGTCCATTGAACATTTATCAGCTGACTTTTTCCTGATTAATATATGAGTAGTCTACATAGGTTATATATGTCGCTAGGTTTCAGTGTTTTTTCATATATATATTCTTGATATTTTATTCTTTTTGCTATTATTTTCTGTCCTGTTTTATACATTATTCATGCATTTTTTAAAACTTATTTTCTAAACACCTACTCCATACCCACAAATTTTTAACCAACTGCTTGACCACCTGGGTAGATTTCATGCAATTATTTCACTCTGGTTCATTTACGTTTATTGTAATCCTACCAACCAAAGCGGTTTTCATGTTCAAAATAAACGGTTCTACTTGTAAAACCTGATGTGTAATTACCCAGAAATACGTATATGGGACAATTTTTATTTTTCGAATCATCATGATAGGAATATTCACATTAAATTTTTAATGTTATATAATTAAAAATGTTGACTTTAACCCTTCTGTGATTTTCAAGTATTCATTATGGGTAATCTTTGTTTATTTAGAATATAAATCCAAAACACTTATCATAAGTCTCTACCATTTAATTACATATTTATGCTGTAGATATAAACGTTCTTTTATGTTTGAAGACTTCTATCATTCAGTTGATTTTTGATGTAAAAATTAAACTACGGTTACTTTATTTGTGTATGAAACCTAAGGAAGCGGTACGTATTTGTATTATTCTTCATTTTTTTATGATTAATTTATTCATTAATACTGTTAACTTGTTAAATTTACTTTCACTTCAGCAACTTTACTGAATTACTTGATATACGTTATGAACACGGAAGTGGGTAGATTAAATGCGTACAAAGAAAAAACCAAAGTTGATGGTGAAGAGCTAGTACTCAATGTCTTTCCAAAACGTGTATTTGAAATGGAAGACATATTGGCGTCGGATATGTTTTTTCTAGGTAAGTCTTGTGAATAATTTTTCCTCAGATAAATCAGCAATGTTTAAGCATAAGATCTTTTAAAGATATTCATAGACACTCATTCCCAGATGTGAAGAGATATTCTTAATTTACTTGTGCGTATTGCTTTTGTGTGTGTTAAGATTTAAATAAGCTCTTCCGAGACCCTAAATCTCATCTTTAAAGCCTAGTTTTTACAATCACCACTCGTACGGTTGTTACAAACTTCCTTATTCTGACCTGATAATTTCATGTTTGTGCTAACGGTTTGTTGCAACTTGAACCGGTATGCATACTTACTAGGTTCTAAATTGTGACTGACTGACTCTGAAACCTTGAAGGTAAACGAACCATGTACCATTTTAGGTAATGCGGATTAGTTCCATAGTCATTGACTTTTTATCATTCGGATTGTATATTGACCTCGTTATGTCAATATTTTCCCTCAGAATAGTGACTTTTATGTCACGTTGTATGATTAGCTACAATATTAGGTTGATTAACTAATTATCTGTTATCAGCGACAATACTTAGTAGCTCTATTTATTAACTCATATAATATTCACGATTCTAAATGATACATAATTATGATGTTGATGGAGTTTAGTAAACGTTGTTTAATTACTTGTGGACACTTAAGAGGACTTCCTTTTGGTTTATTTCAACGATTGCACCTATTTTTGGATTCATCTGAATTTCTACTGTTGTCACTAAATAATTATCAATTTGTTCTATCGATTGCACAATTACAATGTATGCTTTTGTTTTCTACCTGAAATATGTGCTTTATATGTTGTGAGACATCGATCAGTCTGATAGTCAGTTTGATATATTAAATTTTTACATTAAACTATAGAAGCAGTGAATTAGTGGTTAAAGCACTCCAGTTCCAAACAGCAGATCGCAAGCTTAGATCTCGCTTCAACTAACTTTAGTTTGAACAACCGGGTAGTTTCACTAGCCATTACACATTGCTTCATGTTAACATAACGTATGAAGATAGCCTGTTATAAGCAATGCTACAATCTGACACAAATATACATGGGTGACTTTACAAATTTTACTCGAGCATGGTCATTATATTTGGTATGGGTTTGTAGAGATTGTTGGATTTCACTGAAAGCACTAGATGGCCGTTTCGTTTTAGTATGGGGATGCTCAACAGTGCATATGACCATAATTTTATTGTATTTTTAATCTCAAATGTAATTAGTTTTTTACTTAGATTTTTTTGTCATTATTCAATTATTCATCATTTGTTTAGAGGGGAAGTATGTCCATTCTGATGTGAATATACCTTATCCTATTAATCCACATAATTCGTTGCATCCTGGTGATGATATGGATTCTGGTTTAACCAATGCTACAGATAAACTGACCAATGATAAACAACAGTTTCCTAGTAAAGGTTCTTTTGTCTACGCCTTACCAAATGGCTCTGTGTCATATAATAAACATATCAAAGCTATGATAGAGGTCAGTGTCTATTTTGATGAATTTAACGTTTAAAATATGATACTCCCTGGTAGTGTTTCAGACAGTTCTTTCTTTTTAACAAACTACAGTGTCGCTATTTGTTATATCATGTATATCTGCTTGAATAATTAAAAAGGAAATAAGCCTAGTCACTATCATCAGATACGCGTAGATGAGATATAGGGTTTAGTTAAGTTGAATATCACCTTACAGCATCACCATAATAGTAAATGAAAACAATGACGTGGAAAGAGTCATGGGGTCAGTAGTCGTTAAAGTTTAAAAACACAAAAAGTGAGTAATGAAATACATCGTTCTGAAGATTCAGAGAAATGAAACGTGGCTAAATTTTCATCATTATGTTCAATTTCGCTGAATATTGGAAAAATTATTTGCTATGGATTACAATTATCTCGTTGTGTTGAATGGGATCTCTAAACAAAACTTATGAGAATTCAATTCAACATCGTTTGGAGGTGAATTTAAGGTTAAATTTCAATACATTTTCATAACATTACTTTATGGACTTTGACAAATGATTAATTAACTTATTTTGTGAAGATCTGAGGATTTAATCACATATTATCATCATTAAAATTGATGAATAAAGTAGTACAAGCTATAGGAATATCGACAATATCATTTTTCCATTGTGTCAGCGTTTATTAAAATAATATTTTTATTTAAAGTTCATTTGATTTTCTAGGTTAACTTTCCAAAATTTTAGATAACATTGAGACGTTCAATTTAATTTATCAACCCATAATGAGGTCCTACTCTTTTTCAACACATTTTTAATTTCTTTTACACTGACAATAAATTTACACGATTTCCAATATAACGAAAAAATTTCATTTTGAAACTAATAATGGATAAAGGTGTATAAAACTATTTAATATTAATAATCATCTTATGAGAAATACTACCGCCGGAATAAAAGTAAATATAGAATGGTTTGGTCTTTTGAAAATGACTTCTGCTGTCACAAGGATGCTAAACAAATATTGTTAATTTAAAAGTTACTTTTCCATCTGAAATCAATACCGGTAGGACTGTATTTTATATAACTTGAAAAAGTTGGCTTATAATTCATATTTGAACTTCATTTCCTTGTACAGGACCTAGTGTCAGGGCATTTGATCGCTTTATCAGTAAATAAACATTGTATTCAGTTTTAAAAAACTGTATTTTATCAATCCGCATCTATCCATTACGCATTTTAAACTACTTTGCCAGCTGTTTATTTCAATGGAAAATATCAGCTACTCTGTAAAATGTAAGATACAAATTCATTAAAAAATATCTATTACTGCATGCATTCAAATGACTCAAGAGCAGATTAAAGCATGTGTTTTGTATCTGTCTGTTTTCAAATTGTTCACCTGAACGATAATGACGGGTAAACTTACCCCCATTTTCAGTAGTTGCTTCTAATTTTATATAAATTTATTTACTAAGCTAAAAAAGCTCAACTTCAACTTAATTGTCAATGAGTGAGACTTTTTATCTGCTAGGTAGTGACAAAATTCAAGTTTTGTTCAGAAAATTTATTCTATCTACTAAAAGAAAGATTATATAGCATACAACTTGAGTGTATATATTTATCTGCAACCCTATAGGGCTAGTGTAACAAAATTGCATCCTACATCATAAACAAACCAACTAGGGTGACATCTTTCGTTTAAGTGAGATAAACTACAAACCAGAAAGGCGATGAATTCACAGTAACTTAACTGCGGGAGGGTAAATTTTACAAGTTATTCCGAAAATCCATCATTACCCAACAGTGTCATGGATATTATTCTTCACAGAATTGAGACATCTACGTTTTGATTTTGAAAAAATCGTAAGTTTCTAGCGGTTTAACTGTGGACTATGATTTATAGTGACATGAAACTTTTATGGCATTCCACTATAATTCTTTTATTTAATTCCTTCACATTTCAGTGATTGTATCGTCCTTAGTTTTTATTTTCTTATTTTTTACCTACAAGTAAGACCTTTAATCATGAGTGACGTAGACGTTTTATGCCAGTGGTTTCATACTCAGATTTTTGTTAGATATTTTTTTGTTTTCTAAGTATGTAGAAAGAAAAAGTTAATTTAATGGTCAATATATCTTTTGACCAATAAATCTGTAAAACACTTATGCTTTAGGCTAACATCAGAGATTCAAAGCTCATGAAATGAACTTAATATTTAATCTAACTAACCAGTTTTTATCATACTTCTACTTTCTAAGAAAACTAAACCATGTTTAACTCAACTTATGATTGAAGCTCAACTTGTTCGGTTATGGGTTCAATTTAATATACCACGAATTGAAGATGGAAATAATTTTGGTGTAGGAATACAAGAAGAGATTTTAGGTGAAGCATCGGGTATCGAGAGGGATGCATGTACTTTCTTGGATCAAGTTACAAGGTTTGTTTATATTCTCGACTTTTTCAATTCTCCCATATATATGTAAAGGGGTTTTCTGGAGATTAGTTTAATTTCTAGGTAGTATTTGTTACAGATTGATTACAGTTGGGATACAAGACAGCTGTTTCGTTCTAGTATGGGCCCCTCATCCATGTGCACTCACAACCCCCGAGAATCAAACTCAGGACCTTCAGGCTTTGTGGCGAACGTTCAACCATTAGGACCACTGGGTCAACATCCAGTGGTACATTTCTAGCCTCAATCAATATATTATATAGCATGACGATTGTCTAATGCTGTTGGTATTACCGTCATTCCAGATATGTTTGAACCCCACTACTCACAAATTCTAATTAAACTCCGGGAATGTTTTGAAGTAAGTCACTGGTGAGCTGACTGTTATAGTTTGTTCAAAGTGGATTTGTGGAGATCAGTTAAATTTGTGGGTAGTATTGGTCACAGATTGATCTGATTTTGGGTACTTCTGAAAGCTAGGGAGGATTGGACAAAATTTTCGTCCCGGTTTGAGGTAGTGGTCACTCATGACTACACAAAGGATCAATCCTCAGATTAGCATTGTCTAGATCAGTTTGTTATCATTGCTATCTGCAAATATATACATATATGTAGTGTGAGTGATTGTCATGAAGTGGTTTCGGCTGGAGAGGTATTCGAAACAAGTCAGTGGTAAACAGTTGTTTCATCCTGATTACTAGTATCCCACAGTAGTGCACACTTACGATCTAACCCATCACTCCGTGATAAAGCAAATCTCCTCAGCTGATCAGACTGTATATTTATACACTCTATTTATAGATTATATTTATTCATTACAGGTTGAGAATATTAAATTGGGTTTCCTTCCTCGTTTATAGACTTCTTGCTTTTTGCTGTTGGAAATATTTTAATGATGCTGATATAAGAGGCAATAACAAACTAACCTACTCAATTAAAAAATCTTAGAAAAGTCTCTTCTTTAAAATCATTGTTTTCCTTTAGAAATTCCATCTTATTCTTGCCTTGTTCAAAATAAGCGTTTAATATCTCATGAAAATTGACGCTTCTTCTATGATCTAGTTTTAAACCATATTTATATGTTGAAAACTGGATGACGGAGTAATTTTATTTGCTCTCATATATTAAAGGTGTGACTCAAAGCCTCGAGTTATATATAAATATGTACCTGATTAATGAGTTTATTACATTAATCAGACATTAGTTAACTTTCTTATTAATAATAATCTTTTATATAACGTGGTGATTATTAGAAAATCTGAACTTTCGGAGATGTCTTATCTGAAGTTATTGCTTTTATTTTTGCTCTTTAGTTATTAAATGCTTAACTTATTGCATTTTTGTGTTTTTCTGCTTGTAAGCTTTCTCCTAATGCATAAACTGTTGCTATGTGCTGAAAAATAGCCTGAGAACAATGAATCAATGGGAGCTAAGGTTAACGGTGCAGGCTGTAGAATAAGTATTGGACACAGAATAGTAGAAACTATTGTTAGAATTGTGATCAGTGATTTTGACACAGGGTACCAATCAACGTACTCAAGCCATAACAGTTTTCAGTTGATATTTATGCTTTGTTTCAATCATATCATTCTAACACAGGATACAGAATTGTTTTGTTATTCAGGTAGTTTTTTTTCAAATTGTATTTACATCTGTGCTTATTGATACTTGAGTTTTATTTCCTCTGTTTTATCCTTTATACACAGATATTATGCCTCAAGAGGGAAATTAGTGGGTAAAGTAGCAAAATATCCTCATATTGAAGACTATCGTGAATGTATCCGTGATATGGATGAGAAACAAGCAATAACAATGCGATATATTATCATGGAAATTCGTAATCACTATGTAAGCGTTATTGTCCATTTATTCATCATGCAAATAAAATCATTTCCATTTTTACTCATTAATGCTGTTACTTCAAATAATTTAGAAGATATCAAGATTCATTATTGCAAACTACTTGTGATTTATTCAATACATAATGATTATGGGTATCATTACCAAGATTTTTTAAAATAATTTTGAGTAAATTGAACACTGGTTAGATTGTTATAAATAAATTAATATATTTGTAATATCCCACTAAGTAGAAGAATTAAATTTTGTGACGTTTCGTGACTCAGTGTAAGCCACTTCTTCAGAGAATAAATAACCAAGTCGAAGTTAATCCAAGTTTGAATAGTACTGAGGAACAACACGGGAATTTTATGTACGATCAATCAAAAAAAGGTCTGAACAAACCACCTAATAATCCCGTAGAACTGGATAGACTTCAAATCAAATCGGCAATAGCAGTTCACGCAATTTTCAACAACGACCAAGTTGATTTACATATTGATTATCTCTGACTTTAGTGGAACCTTCTTTTCACTTCAGTCTCATGAATGTCTCATCTGGTTATTCATTAAAAAGGACTAAATTTGCGTCGTTCAAGTGGTTTGTATCAAAGAAAAATATCATTCATCAGAAATCGGTGAATAATACGGCTATTTTCTTACTGTGGAGTAAAATCTATTTCTATTTCAAACTTCAATGTTGTCACTCTGTATAAATGTTGTTAGACTGTGTTCCGTCTATCTAATTTAATTTGTTTGCGTCTAAGATCTTGTTTACAGTTATTTGTCAGTGCCTCCAAAAAAACAGAGTTTTAATCTGGTTTCTTAAAAGTACGAGTTAACTAATCACAAAGTAAATGTCTAACATTGGCAATTAATTGTTCTCCCAATATATTTCCAAGTGAATAGTTGTTTCGTATATAACATGTATTCATCATTCGGTCGATTCATTTTTATAAAGTGCTTTGTCGAAAATGTACCTTTTATTCAGTGTCTAACTTTCACTAGTATCCAGTGATTGAATGTTTTTGTAAAGTATGAAAAACATATACCTTCATCTAATTTTCTTCATCAGTTGAGATGGCTGGGACACGTGTTACGTATGCCGAACGACCGACTGCCTCGACGTGCGATGTTCAGTGGTATAGGAGTAGGTTGGAAGAAAGCTAGGGGCGGCCAGACCAAAACATGGCACAAGTCCATGAAGTCACTGACAAGTGGTCTGAGTCATGTTGGTAGGTGTAGACTACCTGGTTGGGGACCGCGAGATGATAGCAACCGATGGTTAGAGACCTTGAATGACATGGCTCAAAATCGTTTGCAATGGCGCAGGTGCATCCACTCTTTGTGTTCTCCCAAATTTTGATCTCCTAATCCCCCTTGTCTCTTTTTTTCTCTTCCCAAGTTTATTTCACTGTATTATACTCTTTAAGTAACACCTCCAAACACTAATCTTTCCGATTACTGCTTATACTCTTATTACCTCTACCACTACGGGATTTGGATCGACCACGGCATCTCTGTGCTAATGTGGTGTGGCAACTCGAACTGATGTACGTACGTACGAAGTTCTACGTTGTTACTGACTGACTGACTGAGAAAACATATAAACATCCTGTAGCTAAGATTGGGGAATATGTTTATTGTGAATTCAAAAGTTACAAAATCATGGCAGAATCTTTTCTTATTAAGATATGTATTCAGGTATAAACCGGACTTGTAAAATGTGTTAAACTCGAGAGTTGATAGTAAATTCAATAATTGCTTAGTACTATTTAATTTATCAGAGATTCATAACCAAATTAATGATTATCAATTGAAGGTTGCTTACGACATGAGAAAGTTTTTCATTCAAGAGTGATGACGTAGATTTATTTTAATATATTATGCATCAATATATAATAGCCTATTTTTCTACTGTTTTAAAATTTTCAGGCCACCTTGCATGATATAATAATAAAAAATCTGGATCGTATAAAAATGCCTCGTTCCAATAATGCGATCAATATGTACTAATTGACGAAACCCAGATTTAGTTGTGTGTTTGCTCACATTATGAGATTTTGATTGTATGTAAATACATACGTTTGAAACGTATTTGAAAGCTTTTGTTTCCATATGCAGTTTCTGCTTGCGATCTTTATTTATAACCTGAAACGATGATCGTACATTCGTATTTATACAACTTGTAAGACGAAGGCAGTTTCAGCACATAACATTTCCGTTTTCATATCAATTCTGACAAACCGTTTCATTCTTTAAGTTTCGTAAAATCGCTTTTCACTAATAAATAATTCACTAGCAAAGGCAAAACATTTATCTTAATATTAAGCAATTCATCTTAGTTGCAGGTTGACTGTGGGTTCCATAAAAGGCTGGACATAGTGTGTTGTCAGATTTGCTATCTCTTTGTGGGATACCGTTCAGCATATTTTCAATTTACAATTAGGGGATGCAATGGTAGCTAGCTATGTGATCTATGCTTTTAACCCACTATAGACTAACTTCACTATTATGATTCCTGTGGTTATAAATAATCCAGGTTCTCTTCAGACCTCCATATTAGTGGGTTCGTAATGAAAAGAATTACAGTCATTTGATCCAAGGACAGTTTCTTACCCACTGGTTGACTGATTAGGTTTGAGGACAAGCGACTTGTCACCAGCTGCAAAATGGCTGATTTCCAGAATGTCTGGATAAATTGATGGTCATGATGGATTGCTGCAGTACAAGGTTCACATCTATACAAAGCTATTTAATTTGGCCGGATATGGTCGATCTTACTATAGTCTTGATTTTGTTCCACATTAACTGCCTTAAGGCAGATACCTTAGGGGTCGACAAAGCGGTCATGCAGGTCCTATGATTTGGCTAAAATTAGCATCTCTGGATGTTTACTGCATTCCAGTATTTTGAAATCTTTTTGACTTAAGATATTGATTTGTCTAAACTTGCAACCAAAAAATCCTCAGCGTATGCATGCAGTAAGTAAAAGCCTGGGGATACATGGTCGAAAAACCGCTAAAAGATGTAGGTCGCGCTTCTCAGTTCGAATGACTCAATAAATATTCCTAAAGAATACATAAGTTTCTTGATATGTATTTTATTGATGTAATTATAAGGCATAGAGATTTTGTTCCAATTCTAGTTTCAAAAAGCTATTGGGGATTTTCCGTATAACAACCAAGCTGTGGATACGACGCTGGTTAACTGCACATCGTGGCATTTTTTGTCCTTTATGATTACATGTAGGATACAAATCATCGCTACTCTTCTTAAGGTTTGTATGCAATGAAAGGGTCTACAGAGTATGTCATGAATAAATTACTCTGAAATAAAGTGTGATCAAATATATTGAATGATGTCAGGGGTATGCAATGCTTAATAACACTGTCCTCCGGGACTTCTAATAGAAGGGTCCTGGAAAACATTAACACAGAAGGCAAGAGTGAAGGGATTGGAAGATATATCTGGAAAATGAATCAGTAGTTAAGCAATCTAAGTTTACCAGTCATCATTTTTTTACTGCTCATAGTTTTTCAAACGGTAGTTAGCTACGTTTAGTGAACGTAGGCTGACATCTTGGTGCACTGTGATGTGTTAAATTTCTGAATTCACATCTTGGATAATGACTAGCTGATCTCAGAATATTTGTTAAGTTTCGCACAAACGTATTATTCAACTGTATTTTTAAGGTCGATTGAACGTAAATTGCAACTAGAATGAAATTTTCCTCAAGTAGGTCGTGTTGTCCCAGGTGTATGTCTAACCATCCATTTTTGTTGCGCAACTAATGTACATTATCCGGCGTTTTTGCGCCTCTTCCTTTCACTTGGCCAATGGGCATTTTTGGGGATTTCCTTCAGTTATGTGTAGATATCTACAATTATCTGCAAATATCACCCTTTAGATGATACCATTTTACCGTATTAAAAAATCAAACAAGACCGGATTCAAGGCTTAAAACAATACTTTCAGTGAGAATTATGATTCTACATTCAGCACTCACTAAGTGTACAAAAATGTTCGAACATTTTTGACATTGTATACATTGAGCAGCGAAGAATATTTACCGTACTAATTTTCAGATTCTTAATTATTATTTGTCTGAATAGATCCGTCTCTAGGACGAATGAAGCGATGTACAGCCTAACGGAAATCTAGTGTATCGCTTTACGTAAAGACGCCTTGGAATGACCTACAGGTAATCATGCACAACGTTTAGTTATCCAGTAACTGAAGACGTCTTCTTTTGACGGTCATTTCAAGTTGCGACAAATGGTTATTCATGCTCTAGTGTCGGCAGCTAGGCCGAAATCTTAGTTACGTATCTGATTACTAACAGGCCTCCATTTCCACTAGCTGCATCTGCCGTCAATACGTTCGGCGTAGTTGTCTTTCTAAGCTTTAATAGCAGTTACGTATTGTTCTTCAAATTTCAGACGCTTCATTCATGTGATACTGTGCTGATAGTATCCAAATATTTCATTTTTAACTTCGTAATGAAAGCAATCTCTCATTTAGCACTTCTATCCGTTGAGTTCCCGGTAATTCAATATTATTTTGCAAGCAAAGAAAAAAAATCTGAAAACTGCTTGTGTTTTGTGTAATATCTGAGGCTTTGCTGTGATTATTCATACATCGATGGGTAGGATTTTGTGGCCTCCGGAATCTATTCTGAAGAAGGATCGGCTGTAAGAGACTGAAGAGCGAAAACTGTCACATAAAAGCTTGATAAGACCTCGTTTGTTCAAAAACTTATCATTCTTTCCTGTTGGCAAACCTCATCTTAGATATTTATTATGGAATTGTCAATTTAATCTTTGTAGATCGACCGCGTTTCTTCTATTAGGCACATATCTTTCAAGTAGTTCGTTAGAATATCTGACAAATTATATGTTACTTATCATTTTATTCCCCTCATTTATTCAATATGACCTTAGAGAATTTAGCACTTGGACTTCTCCGACATTCTCTCTAAAATTCATCTCTCAACAGAAGTGCTACTGATATGGATCATTGTGTTTATGCACGGTAAGTTGTAGGGTAGTAACAGAGGAGATTTGCTGACTCAGTTTAGGAGTTTCGTCAGTAACAATAAGTTTAAATAGTGTATATCAGAACGCATTGGAATTCGGAGAGGTTTAGACTGGGATGAGATCTCAAGATAATGAGGTGAAGATGGAATGTACCATAAGAGCTATGCCTGCATTCACAATGTACCTAATCGATCGGCTTCAGTTAGTAGTGTCCATCAAAAATAACATGGCAGGAATTAGTGCAGTATGTCTATAATACCCTCTTTTTTCAAATTTACTTACAAGTACATTGAAAACTATAGTTTGGTGATCTAGGCAATTTGTAAGCACTCAATTAAGATTCATGAATTCATTATGAGTATTTTATACTGCATTTCCATTCATTATTATCATTGCAGTTAGTTAATAGCATATATGAACTATTAATAAGTAAGGGATAAACAGATTTCTTACGGGAAGTAAGGTTAAGTTGTATTTAGTTGGGTTAACCAACGTCTAAATGAGTAATCTATTAAGTCCTGAATCTTCTGCGTGCTCGACCGGAGCCATCTTTTAAAAATTACCCACGCGTTGTGGTTTCTCTAGTAAATAATACTTCATGGTATGTTTTTGAGTGCGATCATAAATCAATTGAGGTTAGGCAGCTATTAAGAAACTGGAACCACTGGAATGCCGTCTCATCCTAGTATTGAACGCTTTAGCAGTGCGCAATCACAACCATGTATGCGAGATTGCGGTGTTGCACGCGAAAGTTTAACATATAAATCACGGCGCTAATGTCTAAATTTAACCAATCTACTAAGTTGCACGACCATCTTCGATTTACCTTGATGGGAAATGCCTCACAGTCGGCAAGAAATAGCTCTACTAGTTACAGATTCTCATTAGGACTCTGAGCATTACCTTTCGAAGCTAGTCACCAGTGAGCACATGATGTGTCTACAAACATGGTGCTGTTAAGTTTTGCACATATTAGCAAGAAACCACTTCGTAAAAAAGAATAAACTACGTCAATGTTCAGCAATATTCATTTCTAATTAGCTAGTTCACATTCATTTTATTAATGCTAGAAGAACGCTAACTTCTGCACCAGTGTCTACAAGTTAGCGATTTTTCGTAATCACGTCAGTGATGTACATCACTTCCATATCCGCCGGCTGCAGTTGCCGTTGATATGCAAGGGCTGGGAAGATTTCTGAAGCATCTTTCGTGTTGTACGGTTCGGAACTTAAGAAACTTTAGGGTTTTTTACAATTTCTAGAAGATTTCATTATGTAGTGTGGTATCAACATCAGCCAAGGTTATTTACCACTCGTAACCTGGAGACAGATGTTTTACATGATGAGCCGCTTCGAGGAGTTTCGGAGTGTCTATGATTATTATAAATATTGAGATAACGAGTGAGAGTATGACAGAGTATCGTAACGTCATTTTGTGCGGTGTGAGATTTTACTTTGACAGAATAATCCACTGCGACACAGGTTCTGCCAATCTTCATAATCAGACCGGCAGATGTAGCCATTCCGTCTATGGTGCTATTTCGAAATGATATAAGGACTTGCTGCACCTGTTGAGGAGGCTTAGACAAGTAACGCCGTCTAAACAGGCCCTCGCCAAATGTCCGTTAACCAATAAGCTCTCGCATAGGTAGAAACTCTTCTGTTTCTGAGCCATGTTGCAGTTCGATGTTCGGGGAAAATTGGTCCAACTTTTGTTGGTTAGATCTTCAAGTTTAAGGATAGCTTTCTTTGTAGTGTCGTAAGGCCCCGAAACATCACTGGTAAACATACTAGTTGGGACGTAACTTTTAATATCTCATAAGTGTCTCCATAGATGCGATGAATTTTGCACTTCTGTCTATCAAACCGCGCTCGTGGAAGTCAGCTTCTGCGTATCAGGATCAGAATTCTATGTTGTCAGGCCAGAATGGCATAAGTTGGAGAATGGTAGACGAAAGAGCTTCAATCTCAAAGAGCATATGTGTCCATTCCGTCATGATGAAGATAAGGTACACAAATATGAAAGAAAAAAATGCTTGAGAACGTAAAAGCGACATCACAGAATGTAAAAATGAAGATTGAAAAAATGATATATAACGTTCCAA